AAATCCAACAAAACCGATGAATGGAAAAAGATCGCAGATAAACCAGGGTCGCTTCCATTGTGTTGCTTTACTTAATTTGATGACATACATATATAGCTCCTAAGTGTCCCAAGAGTCAAGGTTCTCTCTACAACCACGTGCACTATAAAGGCTTTTTCATTTGTCTTACTAGCACTTAAGGATGCGAACTAAATACGTTTGCTAGAGTGGACATTATAGAATCAATGGTTCATCCGGTACTCTAAGAGCCGTGAATGGCAATGTAAATGAAATATGGTTTGAATAAATCTGTTAATAAATATTTTATTATTTCTTTGTGCTCCTATACCCTCTTGAGATTTTGTAGCATTAACTCAATATCTGTTAATAAATATTTCATTGTATCTTATATTGTTGTAACAATGTCCCTTTATTTATAACCTTCTTATACAGTAGTTGTAGAAGAGAGAACCATCACTTATCGAATACGTACTATAGTAATTAATATGTTTTTTAATATACAGTAAAACTCGGTTATAGCGAAGTCCTCGCATTTTAATTCGCTATATCCGTAATTCGTTATATCCGTATAACGAATTCATATAACCATTATATACGCATGCTTTTCTTTAAGTATTACTACCAAATATGTTAGGGAAGCAAATATTACAAAACATATCTTCGATAAATAAGGTTTTATTATGAATTGAATTTTATATTCAAATGCTTAAGTTCAATTTATCAAATTTTTTATAATCTTTGAAAGTTGTTATAAGAGAAATTTCATTATGTTTAACCTCAACGGGACTCAAAATCAGTTCGCTATATCCGTAAATTCGTTATATCAGAGTTCGTTATAACCGTAAAATTTTACAAAGATTTGTTAATTAATATGTGTGTTTTTTAATGTAATTGCACCAATGTAATAGTGCAAAAACCTTTGTAACCCATTTCCATTTACAATAGTTTTCCATTCATTAGGGTTTGTAGGGTAGTTCAAGTACTTATCCAGTCTATTCGTTGATGGTGACTTCTAAACCTCTCCCATTAACAGAAAAACCAAGAAAGTATACATTGTTGAATTTTAGTTGCCTCCTTATGCAAGTTACAACCAATTTTAACCGAGAATTTTAAGGGTTCCGTTCTTTAAAAGTTCACAAGCTTCAAGATCTTTATTGTTTAGTTTACCAAGAAATTTTGTTAACTGCTCAAAAAGTTCTCGCCCTTGCAACCATAATCTTATTTGAACTTACTAAAATTATCTCATTCATTTCCATCTTCCCTTGTAAAAACATATTCCAGAAAAAATTAATTGTTCTATGTTTTTCATCTGTTGAACTACATTTGCAGTTTAAAAAGCAGACATTTGACGGATTCGGGGCCAAGAAAAGCAGTAACCAATCCCTAAAAATCCGAGAATACCCCGGTATTTGAAAAAGAAAAACTTCGTATTGCTATTATTTAAAAAATACAAAGTACTGCAAGTGTTGCGGAAATGGTCAAATTTAGACATGAGGAATTATCAAACATTTCTAGATAAAAAAATATTTTTTTCCTTGCAGAATTGATAGCCAATTCATAGCCATCCGTCATTCCTATAGTGTTATGTTGGTCTAAAGGGTTAACTCGCCAGAATACGAGTGTCTCAGTTTCTTTCTTGTTTCATGTGTTCGACTCTTTTATGTCTGTCTGAATAGATTCATTTTGATAAAATTAAAACAACCGCTGATTTTGGCAGTTTATAAAATATCCGATTTCGTTTATCTACATGTGTATTTTTAGTTGTTGAAAGACTTCCGATGTTTCATTTTTGAACACGAAATTCACCATCCCATGAGCATGGTCAGTACTTCCGAGCCTTGGATTTATGTTGCTGTAATAATGAATGCCATTAGGATTTACAATTTATTCTCCAATTCTATTTACTTCCATCTCCAACTTATCGCGGCCCCTCTTCTGACAAATTGTATAACGGCCCGAAAAGTTCAAATATCAAGTGCACCATTTGTAAGCTACATGCCACAAAATGATACTAGTATTCTGTGGATTATGGGGAAGTTAAAAATAATTATACACTGATGTACTGATTATGGATATTCAAAGAGAAAAGGGGAATCTTTTATAATACTCAGTAATGAGAATATAATGTGACTTTCTGTTTGAAAGCGCATTATTTTGAATCATGTAATATGTTCAATCAGCAATATTTGGCTGCACAAAATGCTGGCTATGAAATGAAGTATTTAAGCTGTTATAATGCATTCAAATTTGATATTAATCAATCTTCATTCCAATAGTAAAGGACAATAGGTCAGGACAGTTATTTTCCACATAGTATTCCAGACTGTAATTAACAAATTGACATTTTATGTATTCTAGATGTGCAAGATAATGTGTGGTTTTTCGGTGGTCAGATACAGCAGCAGGGCACATTACTGTCCGGGAAAAAAATATTACAAATCTTTTGGATCAATGGTCCAACATTAAACAGAAAAAAACCAAACACGTTTAAAATCTCCGTATGCAGAAATAATCGGTGTGTTCCATTCATTATCAAGTCTCAACGTTGTTTAATATTGTAAAGAAACGTTTCACTATTTATTTAGTTATAGAGGTCTAATTTCAAAGGAAGTAAAGACTTGATATCTACTTAATTATAATAAATTTATATCTTTTATACATGACATTATGGATATAAGGAACAGCATTCAAGCTCGAAAGTCATTTACAAATAATACGAATTTTGGAGCAGAGCAACATAGACATATCTAAAACATTAAAGGTAGGATAAGGTGCAGTGGAGGAGTGAGCATCCCCTGCCGACTGGTCACACCCGCCGTGTGCTCCTTGTCATGGTCGAAAATTAACGGATAAATCCGTCGACAATTCAGTGTGTAAATAATGGCCTAGAGCAATCAGTATGAAAACGTCAGTCAGTATTTGACTTTTAAAATGATAGATTGTATTTGCTGACAAGGTCATTTTATAGACCACAGAATTGTAAATAAATTACCCCGATTTACAAATTGTTCATAGTCTATCGAATAAGTTGAGAGATATAAACCCGGCCCGTATACAGGTGAAGAAGGTATGTAAGTAAGGGAAGTTGACGACTGAAAAGTTAAAGCCATCACATTTATCATAGAGTTTGGTTGTTAGATTGGCATCAACGTCCTTCTCTAGTAAAATATCCAAAAATGAAAGAGATGTGTCAGTTTGTGGTATTTTTTAAAAATTTCATGGGGAGTCCGTGTAACACTTTACAATTCAAATTTCAAATTATTTTGAGTTTTAGAATTTTAATATATTAGTTCAAATACCTAAATTTTAAAAACTCAAACTGATTTGGTATATTGGAATTTAATATTTTAGTTCAAAAATATAATTTTCAAATTTCGAAACAGGTTTCAAAATTTTAATATTTGAGACTTTTACCTTAAATGTTCAAAATTCAAATTTCAAAAAACGATTTTTGTAATTTAAACGTTTGAGTTTTTAGTCTACCGTTTGTTCAGAAAGTTTACACTTATCAATCTATAGTCCAGTAATATTTTTCGTCATTTGATTATTTCAAATTAGCTTCAAACTTCTAAAATCCAACTGAAACATTTTAGATTTTTAGAAATTTGGAATTTTGATTCAAATGTTCTAATTTCAAATAACCAAAACACTTTGGGTTTTTAGAATTTTACTTTAAATATCCAAAATATCAAATGTCCAAACCCGATTTGAATTCTGAATATCAGTTCAATATTCTAACTATCTAAAAGGTATTTTGATTAACCAAATGAATTTTTGAAATAGTTTCAAAATTTAAACCAGGTCTGGAATTTGATATTTTGGATATTTGCAGTAAACTTCTAAAAACTCAAAATGTAAAAAATGCTTTGGTTATTTAAAAGTTGAGTGTTTAAATCAAAATTCTCAATGTCTAAAAATCTAAAACGTTTGAAAGTTGGAAGTTTGAAGTAAATTCTAAATGTTATTGAATTTTAGATTGTTGAGCGTAAGTTTTCTGAAGAAACGGTAACTTAAAAAATCAAAATTTTAAAATACAAAATGTGTTTTTGGAAATTTGAATTTTGAATATTTAAGGTAAAAATCTAAAATATTAAAATTCTGAAACATGTTTGGAAATTTGAAAATTTAGATTTTTGAACTAAAATATTAAATTTCAATATACCAAATCCATTTGAGTTTTTGAAAATTAGAAATCTGATCTATTATATTAACATTCTAAAACTCTACATCGTTTTAGAAATTTGAAATGTTAAGGAGGCTGGGGGTCAACAAGTTAACCACAAATTAACCACCAGATTTAACTTATTTTTTTTTAGATACGGTATCTTAAGCAGTCAACTATCATATCACAAAGAAAAAATTCATACATTTTAGTTTTAAAATTTGATCATTTTTGTACATCTTTATATGGAGCTCTTCTCCTAAAGGAGATCGAAGTAGTCTGAAAATGGCAGCAACCCCCCAGCCCCTTTAAGTGTTACATGGACCATCAGAATATACCTTATCGATATTAGAATGGAAATAACCATTGTTAGTTGACAATAAGTTGTCAACATCGACATTTTAAGGGAACAGCAAGTGTTTTCTTATTTTCACGTTTGACTTTGAACAGATTCTGCTTCATACGAAATTGGTTGTGGGGAATATATAAAATGTTCTAAACTGAAAAAAGATTTTGAAAAATTTACTCCTTACAAAGGTGGCTATGGATAAAAGTCGGATTACCTCTTGTAGATATAAATCTTAGTTTCTCTAAAATACTATTCAAAATTAATGAGCATTACAAACAAATATAATGTTACCTGCTTTGACAGCAGAGACCAGTACATGTATACTGCTTGTGTTATCTATCTAATTTTTTTTTTCAGTAAAGATTTCTTTTAATAAATAAATCAAAAAAATTATAAAGTTGTTTAAAATTTGAAAATTTATGCACAGCCAAATACCTGTAACTTTGTCATCATAAGCATATAACAATTAATTCCTCAATAACAACAAGACTCTTTTTTAGAAATTCTAATTTAATTATTCCTTAAATAATGTCAATGTTTTCTTTTCTTTTTGAAGCCTGAAATTAAAAAGAAAGATATGCACTTTAACCTTCATATTTAAAGGCTATGACAAAAAAGAGAGCAAATCAATAACCATGTTCTATCTTCTAATAACATATGTACATGTATTCATCTACTTGCATGGTTTGAAAGTTTGTTTGTTTGTTTGTTATATTAATACTGCAAAAAATTCCTTATATATCGCGAGTTTTTTATCGTAAAATCAGGTCTTTTTAAAAGCAGTTTTTACAATGATTTTATATGAAAAGTCATTATTTTTCTAAAAAATTTGCTTGAAAAACAAAATTTTATTTTCTTGAAATATTTATGTATTTAAAATCAACATGAATTTACATAAATTTCAGCACAATAAAAATTTGAAAAATTAAACAAATAAATATTTTCTAGACTTTATAATATGTACTTAAATACCGGTATTTCCCGAAATTATCACGCAAAAAAATTTCTATACCGTGTATAATAAAATCGCACATCCCTATAATATATACAATGTAGAATGATATAGGTGGATTACCTTTCTTTCCCTTCTTCCCCTAAAATTAAAAGAAAAACACAATAATGAGCCAAAATAACTTGAATACTTATAATCAAAAAGCAAAGGATTTTGTATTTCTATTTGATTTCCAGATTCTATCTCTATAGCAGTCTTGCTATCTTTGGGAATTTTTTTAAGATTTAAAATCTAGTAGCATATAAATAGCTGAGCGATCTAAGATTTAGTTACACCTTTGATGAAGCTTAAAGCTGGCGACACATGCTTTCTTGGAACACTCTAGTTTAATCAATTATCTAGAAATTAATTCTAGGAAAGTCTATGAAATGTGAAAAAAATCTTACTTAATCCTAATGTATGAACACTTTATGTATAAACAACAAGCAAATTATACTTTACTACATGTAGCTTTCAATAATCAAATTATCACTTTCTTAATACAATTGTATATATAACAAGTTTAACGGATGCAATCACTGAACATTAAAAATATTAAATTTTCTAGGGAAGGAATTTAAATTTGATATTAAAAACATGCAAACTTTGTCATAAAACAAAATAAAGATTTACCTTTCCACTCAACTTCCTTTTCTTGGAGGACCCACCCTGAGAATAAAAACGAAAAATACAATTAAAACCATGATGTCAATATGCTGTACACATTTGGAAAATCCTTTAATAATTAAACTTCCCTGTCATTGTTATGCTAGTACTGACCATCCTCGTAATTTAATCGATCTGTGTAATCAGTTAATCGACTCCATTCAATCCATTGCACTGTGTACATAATATCAGGATTGAAACTTTGTGTTATCTGTTGATAATTTGAATCTATCTTAAACACTGCATCATGAAATCTAGGTGTGAAACAGAATTACCTTAGAGGTTTGGCCTTCTGTTAGGGCACTGATGTCATCAAAGTAAGTCAAATTATTCAGCGAGGAAAATCCCGCAACTCTCCTCATTTCATTCTGTAAATATAAAGTAAAAATCAGATTCAACAAACAAAAACAAAACTATTGATCCGAATTGCTTTAACAGCCACAGATAAGGTAGTGATCAGACTGAACAAACAACATCAAAACTATTGATCTGAACCCCTGTTAAAAGTACAGATACTGTAGAAGCAGAAATTTTTGTGGGGATATACATTGTCATCTAAATGGGTTTTGTGAGCAGTAAATTTCATTGTTTTGAAAGATATCCTATAAGATAAGAGATGTTTGTAAAACACTTATGCCCCCTCCCCCTAAATTGGAATTTTTCTAAATCCAAAAGGGCATAACTCTGTCAAAAATGGTGTGATCATACCAAAAAGAGAACTTGACCTAGATATTTATCTGATAAATCTGTATTTCTAAATTTCATTTCAGTACGTGCAATGGTTTCTAAGAAAATGAACAGAAACTGCAAATAATTGGAATTTTTCTAGGTCCAAGGGGAATAACTCTGTCAAAAATAGTGTGAATGTGTGATCGTACCCAAACCAGATCTTGACTTAGATATTTATCTGATAAATCTGTATACTAAATTTAATTTCAGTTTGTGAAATGGTTTCTAAGAAAATGAACAGAAACTGCAAATAATTGGAATTTTTCTAAGTCCAAGGGGCATAACTTTGTCAAAAATGGTGCAATCATACCCAAAAGAGAACTTGACTTAGATATTTATCTGATAAATCTGTATACTAGATTTCATTTCAGTATGTGCAACGGTTTCTAAGAAAATGAACAGATACTGCAAATAATTGGAATTTTTTCCAAGTCCAAGGGACATAACTCTGTCAAAAATGGTGCGATCATACCCAAAACAGAACTTGACCTAGATATTCATCTGATATATCTGTGTACCAAAGTTCATTTCAGTATGTGCAACGGTTGTGAAGAAAATGAACGGAAACTAAGTGGACCAACAGACCGAGATACAGCAGCAAAGCAAAATGCCCTCCATTCTTCGAAGGGGGCATAATAAAAATTCAGTATTTAGTGATTTTAGTCATATAAAAAAATCTGAGTACCAAAACTACCATTTCAATTTCGTTGAGAATTGCTAAAAATGAAATAAACAGAATTTATTCACCCAAGAATATTCCTGCTTTAACAGTACTAAAGATATTACTTGTAGAACTATTTAAACTAAGTGACATTTGACCTGATAAGCAATAAGGTCATCTTTCTAACATGACCAATCCATAAGGTAGGCATGACATGATAAATTTCCCCAGGCTCCTACAGCAATTGATACATGTACTATCAACTAGTCAAATTTTTAGCACTTCACTAAAGTTTAATAAAAGTTTATTTACATGAACAAAAAATTTTGCAACATATAAAACAAATTATGATGAATATAATAAAAGTTACCTCTTTTCATAACCATTTGCAAGAAGAACAAACTAGCAACAATTTTTTTTTTTAAAAAACTTGTCTGAAAAAAACGTAAATGAAGTAAGTTACCTTATCTTTCTTGGACACAGCAAACCTCATGAAATGTTCCTCTTCATACCTGAAAATTGAATGGAAAATTTTAATTAAGTGTGGACAAATATATCAAGCTTATACTTGTTGTTAAAACCGAAGACCATAACTTCACAGAAACAAACATCTATAATACTAACTCTGTTCTCTCCCTTAGTTTCTTCTCTGCTTTAGATCTCTGTTTACTTGTTGTTTCCTGCAAAGAGTAAAAGAATAATTTAAGATATCATTTATTAACCTTTCCAAATGAATTATGCATCAATTTTTATAAAAATGAAATTTATACATGTGTGTACCGGTATATAGTCATTTCATACCTTCAATAAATATAAAGGCCTTTTGTAATTCATTATATATTTTTTTGTATTATCTATTTTTTAAATATTTGCTGATGTACATGGACGTCATGTAGTTGTACAACTGGAAAATATATTACTCTTTGACAAATACTGTCTGTATTATTTTAATGTAAGGAAAGCCTACTTAGTTAAAAGACAAGATTTTTTATCAATTCATTTTAAAATAAATGTATATCCCCCCCAACTCTGCTCACTACAATTATGTTTCAATTATTGACATTTTTGATGCATAAGGTAACAACAGACCATAATACTAGTAATTTGTTATTTAGAAAGTCTAATAACATCATCATTATACACAACTTATTTTTACCTCTATCCCTCCTCCTAATCAATATATCATACATTAATTATTATACATTGTAATTTCTGACATAATGTTTAATTTCTAAACTACATATAAAGGCACAAAGAAAGAGTTCAGAGGCTACAAGAGGGGAAATGAATTGTCAAAGTGTACTTCAGATCGAAAAATTTTGTTCATAGAACAAAATCGTCAAGGCATTAAAATAAAGTATTTATTCACTAAGTGCAAACGTGGCTGATTAAGAATTACCCTGATTTCTGTTGGCCCCTCGCTGTATTCCTCCCTCAGGTCTCGGAGCATGCTGGTACTAAGTGCCCGCTTTTTAGCCCGCTCCAGAGCCCGATCTTCTTTATCCTGTATCGTCTCATCTCCCTCTGTCAAAAAAATTAACAGTCAATGAGATCTTCAAAGAATGCAGGACAATCAGGAAAGAAAAATCATTTTATACAGCCCAAGAAAATATTATTTATTGATATTTGGTTTTATTCTTGAAACTGTGCAGAATAAAATGTGTATGATTTATGATAGTACATCAATAACTGTTTAGGATTAAGATATATAATCTTACCGTAGTGCATGGCTGTGAGTTTGGGAGGTTGATATATTTTGGATTTCTTCTCTTCTCCCTCAGATTCTGATTCTGACTCTTCATCCAGCTGAGAAAAAAAAATGAATATTAATAAGTCACTTGAAAATGAAAAAATAATTTATATTGAATTTTCTGCTACTTTGGCACAGCATGCCAGTGAAAAATTCTTTCAGTGAACCGTACCTATTTGACTGCATCATAAGGTTAATAATTCAATTACACATTTTTGATAGAGTACATAAAAAAAATCTTATTGTATTCTATTTAGCGATTTTGGCAAAATGCACAATCCGCTAAATCAAGTACATGTCTTGAATATTATATGTTATACCTAGCATATTCAAATAGCGCTAAATCAAAATTACATCAATCTGTTGATAAACTAATCCCCGCTTAATATTGTACATGCCAAATAAAATACATTACAACATTTTTGTCAAAATAAAGTAAGAAATTGAACTTGAAAAAGCATCCTATACAAATATGACATATAATCTTACCTTCGAACAATGACAATAAGATAAAACAGTTCTTATTTAAAGAATTAAAGCTTTGGGTGTACGTGTATGTCAGCTGTTTTCAAGTGTGATATGGCATACATGTATTTAGAAATGAAAAAGCCAACAAAATATATAACTGACCTTGAATCTGTTTTTTTATTATATTGTATGTCATTGTTCTTAATGTCAAATATGACACACTTTCATAAACATACACAAAAATATTTTCACCAGAAAGATATTAAAGTTACAGGAGTGACTTCTGTGGTAGTCATGTACTGCACAAAAGAAAGACTTTCATGCCTGCATACTTAACACTTAGTGATCAATAAGCTTAAAGTATTGAGAATTATTTATTCACAGATATTTAAGTTCACTGGTACTTTAAGAAAAAAATGTACTTAGACCATCTTTTAAAAAAAAAGATTTCAACATACATATTGACAGGATGAATAAATTCAGAAATAAAAGGAAAAAATATTATTGTTTCCTGGAGTTAAGTTTTTGAATAAGGTCATTTTTTGCCAGTCATATGAGAAAGGGCAAACAACCTATTTTTTCAAAGGTATATGTGAGGACAATAAGCATATCGATACATATGAAGAAATATCGAAATATTGCACAAAAAAAATCTGAGTTCTGTTTTTCTTTTTTATTTAACATTTGGGGTTTAATATATAAAATAAATAAGCTAACTATTAATATAGATATGAATAAATAATAATTTACACCACTTCAGTAAAATATTTTTGTTTTACAACATATAACATGTATAAACAACTATTTTGAATAAATTATTCTTACATTATTTACAAAGAAATAATTTGTTTATTTCAGTGCTAAAAAAGATTTTATAAGCAATTTAACATATCGTGATACATATCGTATCATGGCTCAAATATCGTGATACGTATCGATATAGAAAAAGTTGTATCATCCCAGTCCTACTCAAAGGTGGCCTTATACCTTTAAAAATGTTTAGGTGTCAACATACCTTGCTTATTAAATTATCTGGGTTAGCTCTGTGTCGTAGAGGGTCAGAAGAATCTGTAATTTAGATTTTTAAAACTCAAATATATTTAAATACTGTTTGTTGTCTTTCTAGTAAAATTTTTCAAATTAAAAAAAAGAACAACAAGCAAAGGATGCAGTTCCTACCTGTTCCTCCACTTGCAGCAGTTCTTACAACTTTGTCAACTTCATATTTTAATTTCTTGTCTATTGGTCTCATTTTTTCCAGCACCTTGAATTGAAGAGTACACAAGTAAAAACTTAGAAAACATCAAAATGGATAGGTCCAGAAAACTATACAATTTCTAATTATAATAAAAATACAAGAGAGCAATGGACCACACCACCTGGCTGAGGAGAATTCCATTAATTTTTAGGGGGAGGGGGGGGGGCACCATTGATTTTATTTTTAAGACCCCAAAATTTTCATCAGAATTAAAATCAAAAACATCACCACTAAGAAAATTCACTTTCTTAATCAAAAATATGTTTAAAGGCCCCGGGTTTTATGATTCTAAACATCTCTGTATCCAAAAAATAAACTCAATGTATTTATAATGATTAGCTATAAACTTTGAAAAGTAGGTCAGGGTGACCTACTTTTTAATTCACTACACACTTCATGGCCCAATGATGCATCAACTGACAAGGTTTGAAGATCAAGGGCTTCAAAGATTCAAAAATAAACATTCAAATTAGTTTGAAAATGAATACCTGCAAAATTACCCAAGTAAAAAATGTACAGTTTTAAAAACAGACAGACAAGCAGCCAGACAAAAGTAATCAGAAAAGCTGCCACATCAGCCCAGGTGAGCTAAAAATTAAGGTAATCAAAAGACCTAAAAAAATGGTTAAACTAAAAAGTAATCTACTCTCAAAATGAATACTTACTGTTCTTATTTCTATGAGTCTATCAATGGCAGGGTCTCCTTCTATGCTTCCTCCCTTGGATTTTTGTAATGTTATATACGTCAGATTAATCAAATAACTTAACAAGAGCTGGTATTTCACTTCCAGAAAGCTGATTCCCTGTAAGAATAAAAATAAGTAAGTTTAAGCCCAATCAATTATATCTTGCATTTAAAATTTAAATTTCAATCCTTCAGCTTTGTAAATTATGTAAGCTTACTTTTGATGTTTGGTATTCTCTCTCGTGGGCCTTTTTCAGGAGATGGTCTATAAGTTTACTGACATCTTCTGTCTGGGATTCCATGTTCTCCAAAAGATTAATAGCTTCTGCTGCTTCTTCTGTCGACATGGTGCTAAAATTAAAGTTACAATTGTAATTAAGCAAAAGTTACGTCATGAAGGGTAGCCTGTAATCCTTGTATTATTCAGATTTTTTTGTGTTTGAAAGTATTAGTAAAATAACTTACGGTTTGAAGAAAATATATCAGTATCAAATTGATATTTTAAAGGTACTTTAGATTCAAAATGCTCGATTTGAATAAACTTTAGAAATATTGTACAATTCTTACAACATGGAAATAAATTTAATAATTTAGTTGGAAAAAACTAATGTGTTCAAAACTTTGTTTGCTTGCAAATTATCTCCAAAAGTTTGGGATGGATTTTATAGAAGTTTTGGACAAAAGTACAGATTCAGAGTAAAATCAATGTGTAGAAAAATAAGAATTCCCAGCACATTGTGTCAAATATTATAACTTAGAAGGTCTGCTGAAAAGACTACATGTGCATGTAGTCACTGATCTATGCAATCTACTGACTAAGATTAAGTAAAACTTTGTTGGCTATAACTTGATTAGACCATAAGCAGGTAAAAATTTCAAGATATTTGAATGATGATTAAGATATCTAGAGTTAACATACTTAGAGTACATGTATGTGGTCTGGACTTCCAAATCATTTCATATATCTATCATTATGGAATTCCAGATACTGAGATATCATTGTTGAGATTCCAAAGTTTAACTCTATTTGTACTCCCAACACACAGGCATTTGTTTGTATATGGGGCACCCCTAAATATTTTACCGAGTGGTTTACGATAGATAACTTTCACATTTACAAAAGTTATTCCCCTCTGCGGGGTCAAGACACTGTTTTCCCTCTATAACCTTACCAACTTTATGGGTCAGTATTTCAGAAATAAAATCTGTATGAATATGTTAATTACATTTTTCATGTTGCCCCATATTCTGGCAATACAGGTACAGATCGAAATTGTCCGATAATGTTTAAAGATTAAAAATATTAACAGGTAACTTACAAAGGACAAAGTGGGAAAAATGAGCATTACGCCAACAATGGGAGATAACTCTTAGGAATGTGAAATTCGTCTATAAAAAGGATTCACCACAGACTTATTATGAAATGATTTAATCTGAAACAAGTGCCTGGATCCCAATAGTTGACAAAAATTATTTACAATTTCTAGTGACCAATTTTTTTTATTTCCTCAGACAAGAAAAATCATTATAAAGCAGAGTGATTGAGTGAAAATTGCAAACGTTGTACATGTAGTTGAATAAAGAAAGATAACTCTTATTAGACTTTTTTTATTTAGGTATCACTATCAGGCATATTACTATATACATTAGTGATTACTGTATTCAGAAACAAAGAATACATCAAAATTTACTCAAATAAAAAAAAAATCCCAAATGAATCAAGTGCATGTAGCTTTAATCATGTTACATGTACAATCTGATGAAAACCACCCCCTTCCTCCCATCTTGCAACTCTCAGTGCTGACAGCACTAAGAGAAGAGGACTGGTTTTACATGTAACAAGACTGCTAAAATTAAACATTAACGTTAATTAAACACAACTGAGACCAACGAATGGGATAGTATCATGGAATCTGAAAGAAAATTTATTACCTTGTCAAGTCAACAGACAACACACGCCTTAACTTCTCCGGAAACGCTTAACGCCATCTAAACGCAAAATCTTAAGAAAAATTTTCATAATTCCGGTTATTGCGTTTGAACTGAAAATCGATATATACAGGGTTTTGCTCTAGTCTGGAGTTATAAAAAATATATTGTTTATTTGTATTCTAGTTGTGTTCTATTGTATTATCATGCTTATTATTATGTTCTGTATAGGCCTTTACCAACTATTACGTTTGTGCCCATAAAATATAAATTTGTATTTGTATATTTATTAAAATATCACATACCTACATTCAAATTAATTAATAAGTATACTATTATTTTTGATATTGGCTAGTGAAAATTAGAAAAAAAAAATACTATAGGTAAAGTTCACAGGTACTGGTGGACAGGACACACCCCCCCCCCAGATTTTCAATCCTGGGGCTTTATATTGGGCTTTTTGTTCACAAATATTTTTTATAAGAATAAATGCAATAAGTTGACAATTGTATGCAGAAACAGGTAATTTATATATCAGATACTGTTGTAATCAAATGTTAGAACTGTATGCTGCAGTAGTATTGAAACGTAATAGAAACGTAATAGAATACACTAAAAGCACTTGTTTCGTGTAAGTTGGGGTGCCCCTCATCGTCTCAAGCCACGGTCCGGAGTCCGCATAAAGCTCTCTCCTACGAGAGTATCGTACATTTTGGCCGTGGTTTGCAACGATGGGGTGCCCCTACACGAAACAAGTGCATGTGGAACACAGCCATGACATAGAATTACCTGACACCCCTTGGAAATAGATTGTCCCAGTGGTATAAAAGTTAGTGCAGCTTGTGGTAATGGAATTGCTACGAAGTTTAAGTCAGAGAAGACGGAAGACGAAAGGCAAGCGTAATACTAAGGCTAGGATGAGTATAGAATTAGTGCACCAGCGGTAGTGGTATTTGGGGGAATTAATTTGAGAGTCAGGAGGTTGTAGATCTTATTAGATCGAGGCGCTTGATTCTCCATATTAATAGGAACCCTATACCAAGAATACGCGGTGACGGGTTACCCAGTCACATTTAGTCCTTGAAAGATAGCACTTGGTAAAACCTCTGGTATTTTAATTGTCTTCTAATATACAGAATTATTAGACTCAGGAAGAGGTATATACAGTACAAGAAAAACAAGATATTCCTTACTAAGAACCTTTTTGTTCAGATAAACACGTTACATTTTGGTGACAGCGGGTTAAGGGATAGGAAATTAGTATTGTTTTTCTGTTGATTTTATTTTGCCGTGTATATATGTTTGTCTTACTCTATAGTATTGGTATTGTGTATGACTTGGTAAGGTTTACCAAGATCATATACCTGGTGCAGTTATAGAAATAAGAATAGAGAAAAAACAGGTAAATGTAATAAATTATATCAGAATGAGTGATAAGAAGGGACGAATTGGTAGCTGACCTCAGTGCTGTATAGATGTCAGGAGGGAGAAACTCAGAGAAGAAATAGAAAAATTACGTTCAACACCTCAGATGACCAAGTCTTCAGTGATACCAGATTCCGGAGTATATGTTACACCATGTAGGTACAAAAACCCAGATAACAGTTAAGATGAATAAGGTTACAGAACACACAGCAACACAGGACATGCACATGAACGCATGCGATATCCGGAGCCTGATTACACATGTACATTGTACAAAGGTAAGCAGACCATAGATCGAACATTATAGAGGGAGTCAGAAAATAAGCTGCGGCGCTTTGGTACAATAAGTCAACCAGTTTTTACCAAGACACATTTACACTAAGCCCTCTTTTAAATAATAGGTGTGCGGTATAGTAATCAGCTTCCTCCACAGTTACTTGGTCAAACAACCAGAACCCAGTGCAGGAACCAGTATATAGACATCTACGTACGCTTGATTTGAGCATGAACGTTTCAGATGCACGGCCCAAGGAATATTCATTCGCCAACACAGTAATGAAACCTGCAAAATCGATTATAAAGCCATTTTCGAAACATGTAGCGATATGGACTCATGTAACTCACAACAGAAAAGTTTATACCTTGCAACCTCTTTAAGAGGACAGGCTCAAACTGTCATTTAAAATATGCGACCAGGTGCAAATAGAATCTATATGGAGCTGTGTGACGCATTAGAATCAAGATTCGCTACTGCAAATCAAACAGAACTCTGTCGAGCCATGCTTAGGAAAAAACGTCAAATGGCCATGGAACAATCGTCAAATAGAACAACCATGTGAAAAGTCTTCTTCACATTTGGTTTATGATGAAGATTCGAAGAAAGAACCTGATGAATTTCTGTTTGAATAAATGGACTTAGAAGCTGGCAGAACGCACCGAATGAAGACGTCTCCAGTTTTATCAGGGATTAAGCGAAGAATTGCTGATGTCTCAGAAACCGTGACCAAAGATTTGCTAACAAGTGAAGAGGTAGTGGAACTAGCGACAGTGTTTTTGAAGTCCAAAAGGTACCTTTGGATTACGAACTGTTTTTGCTGTAAGAAGAAAGCAAAGAAAGGTGATGTTGAAGTGCAAACGGGTGTAGTCAATGCAGAAAAGAGTCACCAGAAAATCATCAAGGTCACGAGGAAATTTCAAAAAGATGGTGAGATGGTCGAGCGTTTGGAGGAGGACATCTCGATTGATTAATTGTTTGATGTAATATACTGTTCACAAGAATATGTAGAAGTATGTTTGGCGCAGTATGGACTTGCCTGTTTATTATACAGTAGTAAGATCATACGGAATACCAGCAAAGATCTGCAACATCATGAAAACATTTTATTCAAACTTCGAATGTAGTGTCATCTTGGAAAATGGATTATCGGACTCTTCAGTGGAAAATCTGGAGTAAGACAAGGATGAATACTATCACCAATTCTCTTCCTTATGGTCATTCATTAAATTGGATCCAAAGAAACGCCACACATGACAAAAAGAGGGGTATTCAATGGACAATGTTTCTAATCACCTAGAAGTCCACATACAAGAAAAGACTGATGAGTTAAACTCCTTTGACAAACAAACTGGGCTTAACATCAATGCCAAAGAGACCAAGGTGTAACAGTCAATGCACCACTTGGACCTGTCACATTTGCCCAACTTCAGCCCATCTGGAAGTCAAACAACTACAGTCTGATAACAAACTCCAACTTTATAACAGCATTGTTAAATCAAATCTCCTGTATGGGTCTAAATGCTGTCGTGTTGTTGACAGAGACATGAGAAAAATAGAAGCATTCCACAACAACTGTCTTCAAAAATTCATTGTATCGTCTGCATGGCCGGACAAGATTTCTAACAGAGACCAGCACAAGAAAAGCAAAACAACTGAAATCAAGCAAAGAAGATTGAGAGGGCTGGGACATGTGATGAAAATGCCTCAGAGTAGGATACCTAAAGC